TGACTTCAATGTTCACTTTTATATTTATATTTACATACGCTCTATCTCTGATATTGAACACTTTATCCCATAAATATAGCACACCTTAAAACTATATTTATTCATATACATATAGTTAGATAGTTAGTTATACAGAGAGAGAGAGACAAACAGACAGACAGACAGATTGATAGAAGGACTGATAGAGACATAGACAAAGATAGATAGATAGATAGATAAGAAAGAAAGCAGTTTTAAGAAGATAGATAGAAAGCAGTTTTTATACGATAGATAAATACACTGACAGACACAGTATAGGGATTATCCAAACGTAACTTAGATATGGCACTTGGCCGAATGCAGGGGACACCCTGTGAGGATCGAACACACTACAAAGTCGTAATTGCTCTACCGAGACAAGAGTGCTAACCATTACACCGCCTCAAGTTGATCTACATAGATAGATAGAAACGAGTTTTAATTAATTCGATAGATAGATAGATAGATAGATAGAAAGCAGATTTAATAAGATAGATAGATAGATAGATAGAAAGCAGATTTAATAAGATAGATAGATAGATAGATAGAAAGCAGATTTAATAAGATAGATAGATAGATAGATAGAAAGCAGGTTTAATAAAATAGATAGATATATACATGCGTAATATAAAAAGTAAATATGAAGTAATTTTCCCAAAATGTTTTGCAATGTCACACACATATCCGAGCCCACACACACTCACACTGAGAGACCCAGACACACAGACTTACGCATACATCCAGCATACATACACACAACACAAAACAGTTTCATTATTAATTAGTTTCTTTGGCGACCATTTTAAAGAAGGGGGTGCCGAAAAAAGGTATACATTTGGTGTCACCAACATATATATACATACACACACACAAACACGTATACACCTATATATATATATATATATATATATATATATATATATATATATATATATATATATATTAAAGAAAAACAGACCATTTTAAGGTTCCATTATAATAATTTATTTCACCAGAGCCATTTTAAAGGACCTGGATCATCAGATAACAATTCCAAAAATGAAACGAAAAATGAAATGAAAATTAATGGGTAGTGTATGTTTTCGTAATTTAACAGAGAGTGTAATAAGGAGTAGTTAGAGAGCCATGGTAGAGTTTAGGGAGGGTTTAATTTAATATTTCCCTCAATCATACTTAGTATTGGGGGAGGAGGAGTGACCAGACCTTGACCTATTTAAACGGTTAACTTAACGGAAGTGATATATTGAAATGGGAGGTTAGAAGAGAGAAAAGAAAAAGTAAAAATAAAGAAGAGGGAAGTAAAGAGAAAGAGGCTGTAAATGGGTTTTACATATTTAGGAGATGGGTGGTAAGTTTTAGCAATTTATGGAAAAAATAGATTTTAATGTTTTATAGTAATTTAGATGTCTAAAAAATCCCCGAAGAAATTAATTTGATGCTTGCTAGTAATTTAAATATTTAAATTTTTTACAAATAATTTAGGGATTTAATATAAGTTAAATACTGTATTTATTAACACATTCATTAAAAAGAAAAATTAAACTATAACAGTTTGTTTACCCGACCAATAGTACTCTTTTAATATTGTAAAAAACAGTTACGGCAACATCTTTATCAGCTTGAATCTAATTTATGCATGTAATTATATATATATATATATATATATATATATAGTTATGGAGAACTTGGTAATCCGTATGGGTAATCCCAAGAAGGATGAAATCCTGAGAGCTCAATCTAAGGTACTATTATAATAATTTATTTCACCAGGGTCCTTTTAAAAGACGCCGGATCATCAGATATGAAAATGAAATGAAACGAAATATATATATATATATATATATATATATATATATATATATATATATATAGTAGCGTCCAAAACTAAGGGACAAAATTTTAAAACCTAATATTTGTTAGAAATAACAACTGTGAAAAGCTGAAATTTTGACAACTGGTAGTCGTTATCATCCATAATAACATACTAAAATTTGAATCATTTGCAAAAGAAAAGAATTATAACAATTATTTATTTATTTTCAAATTTGGAACGTCCAAAAGTAAGGGACAAAATTTGAAAAACAATGTAAACGGCAAAAAACAATAAAAATACATGTACAATCAATATTTAGTAAATGAGCCCTTGCTCTCAATGACAGCTGCACATCTTCGACTACAAGAACGAATCAGTTCTTGACAATCCTCGATACTAATTTTAGACCATTCTTCTTGAAGCTTCACCCACAAATCCTCCGTGTTAGTGGGATTTCTTTCCATAACTTTCACTCCTAAGGTCTTCCAAAGATTTTCTATTGGATTTAAGTCAGGACTTTGCGGTGGCCAATCCATAATTTCCAAATCTTGCTCGCTAAGGTAACTCATTACCACCTTTGCCTTGTGACATGGGGCATTATCTTGCATAAAGGTAGCCCTATCGAAATTTGAATTCTTTATGATTGGCACAACATGATCTTGAACAATGTTTTTATAGATCTGCGCGTTTACACGAGTTTGTAACCGGACAAGAGGCGTTGTACTTTGGCTAGAAAAACATTCCAAATACCATGACGCTTTCCCCCCAAACTTGACAGTTTTCTTAGTACACTTTGCACTTAATCTTTCACCAATACGTCTCTTTACATTGTTTTTTCCATCATTTCCAAATAAATTAAACCTCCTTTCATCACTGAAAAAATACTTTTGCCCAATTTTCATATGTCCAAATTACATACCTGTTTGCAAACTCTAATCTCTTCTTCTTATTCTTCGAACTAACAAGTGGTTTCTTCCTGGGGTTCGATTAAACAGCCCTATTTCTTGCAGTCGTCTACAAACAGTCTGTCTTGACACATTAACACATGAGGTACTATTCATAACCTTTTTTAATTTCTGTGCAAGACTTAAAACAGTCCTTTAATGACATACGCTGCATTATTCGATCTTCTCTTGCCGAAGTTTTGCGGGGTCTGCCGGTTTTAAAAGCACTAACTATTTTGCCAGTATCATTGTAGGATTTAACAACCCTGCCTACAACACTCTTGGAACGTTTCACTTTCTCTGAAATCTCTAATGGTGTGCTTTTCCTTGTGTAGCTTCACAATAGCTTGTCTCACAGAGTAATCAAGTTTTTGGCGTTTCGCCATGGTGCCGGCTGATGCAACGTTTACAAATGACTAAGTAAGACATATTCTTTAGAGGAAATCAAAAAATTTGAATATAGCATACTGTTTACATTGTTTTTCTCAATTTTGTCCCTTACTTTTGGACGATCCTATTTTGAAAATAAATAAATAATTGTTATAATTCTTTTTCTATCCTTTTGCAAATGATTCAAATTTTAGTATGTTATTATGGATGATAACGACTACCAGTTGTCAAAATTTCAGCTTTTTCACAGTTGTTATTTCTAACAAATATTAGGTTTTAAAATTTTGTCCCTTAGTTTTGGACGCTACTGTATATATATATATATATATATATATATATATATATATATATATATATATATATATATACGTGTGTGTTTATGAGTGTAGTCCTGCTTTTGTATAATTCATTTTTGGTGGGCAAATTTCCTAGAAATCCAAATTTAGGTCAATTGTTCGTCGAGTGAAAATAAAAGTAAAAAACAACTTTTTTCATTATTGAATTGAGGACAATGTTTTCAGAAATAATTTTATCGAAGGTTGGATCAAAAGAAATAAACAATAATAATAATAAGCAGGCTTGATGGATATTAAAAAGACTTGCTATCACTTGCTCCATGGTTAAAGTCAATTAGTGTTCAAGGCATTTTACTCATGGAAAACGTTTAGACTACTATTAATAATAATAATACTACTAATACTACTACTAGTACTAATAATACTAATACTACTACTAATAATAATAATAATACTAATACTACTACTACTAATACTATTAATAATTTAGCTTGAAACCAAATTTTAATAATGAAACTGTTTTGTCACTTTGTGGATATGCGTGTCAGATACGTGTGTTAGTCTGTGTGTCTGGGTCTGTGTGTGTGTGAATGTGTGTCGGCTTGGATGTGTGTGTGACATTGCAAAACATTTACTTTTTATATTTCGTATGTTTGTCTGTCTGTCTGTGTCTGTTCGTCTATATGCAGTATCTGTCTATCTTATTAAAACTGTTTTCTATCTATCTATCTATCTATCTATCTATCTGATTCCTTTTAATATTTATCTATCTATTTAATTCAAACTGCTTTCTATCTATCTTAATAGGGCAACTTGAGGCGGTGTAATGGTTATCAAGCTTCTCACTCGAAACTTACGACTTAGCAGTGAGTTCGATCCTCACTGGGTGTCCCTTACATTCGGCCTTGTGCCATATCTAAGCTACGTTTGGAATAACCCTATACTGTTTCTGTCTGTCTGTCTATTTTATAAAAACTGCTATCTATCTATCTATCTATCTGTATCGCTTCATTACCTTGTAGAGGGCCGTGGCTGTTATGTTGTTGATAGAAGTCAGACGTAGAAGAAACGCATGTAAGGTTCAGATACTCCTGCCCGCCGGGCCCAACTACATAAAAAGGTTGGACTTTGATTAAGTCCAAAGAAGAAGGTAAAGAAAGCAAACAAAACACAAGACCGATAATATATGTATATACAAATATATATTAATAACAAGTTACAATACATGGAAACAGTACAAAGGACAAACTGTGTGTGAATATTCTGTATGTGCGTGCGTGTGTGAATATTCTGTATGTGCGTGCGTGTGTGAATATTCTGTATGTGCGTGCGTGTGTATTGTGCTTAGCGTGTTTCCACGCTATCCCTTGTTAGCGCCTACATTTCGAGGTTGATAGCTGAAAGCCTGAGGAAAAAAGAAGATTTACCTCAAGGTGTTTGGCGCACAGGCCTGAGGGAAAAAGAGCTAGAGGCGAAAGGTCAGCGGCTATTTATAGCCAGGGAAGAGAGACCCCTGGTGAAAGGGTTATCGAACTGAAGGAGGAGTTAACTCCGACAATCTATCTATCTATCTATCTATCTATCTATCTCTTTACCTGTTTGTCTGTCTATCTATCAACCTGATCTGCTGTCTCTCTGTATATCTATCTATCTATCTATCTATTATCTTAAAAACTGATATCTATCTCAGTGTCTATCTTTATCTGACGGAGCGTTTGCAGTCAATTGCCGAGAGTCTGTTGGGACCCGATCAAACTTGTGCTGTGAAGGGCCGAACATTTCAGAGCAACATGCATCTGATCCGCACGATCCTAGAGGGTGTAAAAGACGACGAGCAAGCCGCGCTGATCAATTTGGATCAGTCCAATGCATTTGATAGGGTCGACCATCGGTATCTGGCTGCTGTCCTGCAGGCCGCCTGATTCCAACCCGACTTCTGCAAATGGATTAGCCTCCTGTATCGCTCACCCAGTGCTGTGGTACAGGTGAACGGAAAGCGGTCGCACGCTTTTGCGCTGTCTCGGTCGGTTCGTCAGGGTTGCCCACTGTCGCCCCTACTTTACGCCTCTTCGCCGGCTGAGGGACGGGGCGTGCAGTCCGGCCCTACGTGGAATTGCTGTCCCTGGTGAGGCTCGAGCCAGGGTTTCCGCGTACGCCGATGACATATCCATTTTCGTGTCGTGCCACAGCGACATTGAGGTGGTACAGAAGGCGCTTTGAAAACGAAAAGGTCACATGGGCCAAGATTAACCGTAACAAGTCTTCCGGCTTGCGGTTAGGTGCCTGGAAGGGGGTCTCTATTCCGGGGCCTTTCAGTTGGACGGACGGTCCTGTCCGCATTCTCGGAGTGTGGTTTGGACCCGATTTCCAGCTGGAGAAAAATTGGTTAGAAGTACAGGCAAAGGTCGGAGCGTCGGTCCGGACTTGGCTCCGAAGGAGGTTGTCCTTGAAGTGTAGCGCGGAGGCGTGTGCCACTTACGTCTTTCCTCTCGTCCTTTACCGCTTGGCTGTACTTACTCTTTGCAAGGACCATAGGAAGGCGATCGAGCGTTTGTTGTCCACCCTCTTGTGGGGTGGGCGCAAGCAGAAGGTCCGTAAAGAAGCTTGTGTCCAACGTACGTGTCATGGGGGGAGGGCTGGGATTGCCGCACGTGGTGAGTCATCGAAACGCCTTGAGTTTGGCTTTTCTACGCCGCGTTTTGATAGAGGATTCGATTTTGGTGGGGAGTGTTAGGGACGCCTTCCCTAGCCTTACTATCACTCCTCCCATTTCCTGGGCTAAGCGCCGTCGTAGGTCCTGGAAATTGTCGACTTTTCTCAACGAGTGTCGAGCGGCCTTGAGGGCTTTTCCTCTGTCCAGTGACCTTTCACGGCCTCGAAAGGTCTTTTATCGTGAGTTAGTGGAGGGGGTCGTGAAGGATCGTCTCTGCGAGCGGCTCGGGTTGTCGGTGGACGAGTTGCGCTCTTTCTGGTCTTGGGCGCCAGAGGCGAATTACCTCAGTAACACTGGGTTTTCTCTTACCTGGCGATTGATCCGTAACGTGCTATCTCTCAACGACATGGCCTTCAGATGGGGCTGGGCAGATTTGCCCGACTATTACCGGTGTGACCTTGGTTTAGAAGAAACGGCTTTGCACGCCTTCTACCATCGTCCTCAGGTACGCCCTTTCTGGGACTATGTCGGCGAGATGACGGCTCGTATCACTCCCGATCAGCTTGTACTCATCGATCTCGCATACGCGTGCGACAATGTGTCGCCCCCGTATTCTAGGGTGAAACGAATGGTGTTTCTAACGTTGCTAGCCGTGGCAAGAATGCTGATCTGGATGACGCGAAAGGAGGGGATCTTGCGACGGGAACGCTATTCTCATCAGGTTCTGATCAGATACATTCAGCATCAGCTGAAAGTGAAAATCAGAACTGATAAAAAGCGTTTGGTGTCGACAGATTTCAACGAAAGGTGGGTAAAAGTAGCGAATTTGGTTCGCGTGAAAGGGGCTATCCTTGAGTTCCATTTTTAAGTCCCCTCTCGTCACAACGGGGTGGTTTCCTGCGAACCCTCCCCCCTCGTTAAGGTAGATCCCCACTTTTGTGTACCTAGTTAACGTGAGTGAGTGTCGTTCCTGGCTGTTTCCCGGGCTTTACTTTGGTTATGAGCCAAGTTGAGATTCCCAACCTCCCCAGTTTGTTTTCGGCCGCCTTTTTATCTCGACTGGTTCAGTCTTTGACTTCCCCACGCCCTACATTTATTTTTCCCTCCCCCATTCCGTTAGAGAGTTAGCCTCTTGATTCTGTCTGATGACAGAATACAGCGGCAACTCTGACTTTTGTGGGGTGGGCGGGCCCTACTAACATTAATTATTTTCTGTTACTTTCTGTTTTAAATATAATATTTGTATCGGGATTCAGAACCCTCCCCATCATTTCACATCATCGTCAGATATATATATATATATATATATATATATATATATATATATATTTTATGAACCTTTGTACATAAGAGATTTTAAACCATGGGGTTTAATTTTAGGGTCCCGTTGTGAATGTGGTATTGTAGGAGTAAAATATGAAGGGGGAATTCTTTTGGTGAATGGGTTATTTGTATTGAATGAATGGGTCGTGAATCGGGTTAGCTAGGGATAGAATAGTTAAGGAAGACCAACCTCAAACCCACTACCCACTTTTTAGGCCATGTGCCACAATTATTGTATTTTGCAATAATAAATAGAATCTATCTATCTATCTATTTATCTATCGCAGTCCTTTTAATATACATCTGTCTGTCTATCTATCTATCTATCTAACTGTTGTGGTAGGATCCACCTAATTTGCATAGTGGAGTACCGGGAAGAGAGGGGGGAATCAAGAGATTCAACCAGAGACTCTGCCCGACTGCGACTCAGTCAACACATTCTCCAGGAACGGTCTTACAAGGAATATACAAAAGACTATATGTAAATATTGTGTACACTTTCTTGTTTCAATACATTTTGTTCTAAGTACATTTTGTGTTGCATTATTATTCCATGCATTAGTCAAGTTTCAACAATGGCGACGAAGTAGAAAGAACTATACGAAAAAAAAAGAGAATTGATAATTGATAGCCTTCAACATTTGGGACAAGTCATTGAAGAACCCAGGCTGAAGGAAAAAAAATATTAATTAAAAGTCCAACATCTAATGGAACGGCGAAGGATTCTGAATTTCTGGATATTTAGAACTCGTTAAAGGACGACTAAGCATAAAGGAACGTTCACTCAGAAAAATTTGAAAGGTGTCGTAAACGAATAACGGTGATTAAAAAAAAACAAAAAAAAACGGGCCGACTACAAAAAAATGCATGGATTTAAAAGGCGCACAAATACATCGTGTCGATTTTGAAAAGTAACAAACTTTTAAAAACAAAAAAAAAAAATTTTTTTTGTTGCTCAACAATATTTTATAAAGCAAGACATAAAATAAAAAAGTCGTAAGTTGTTTCGATTTTTCTGGTCAGATTATACTATATATCCGTGGATACACAAATTAAAAGTATATTCTTTGTTGCATGAACACTATTAGCAAAAGATGGATGAATTATCCAAAGTCATATCTGAATTATTCAAATCCCAGCAGTTGAGTCAGTCACGTCAAAGTGAACAGTTTGCCTTATTAATAAGGGAACAACAGATAGCACAGACAAAAATATCAAGAAAAGCAAGAGGAAAGGTTAAAAAAATATCAAGAAAAGCAAAAGGAAAGACTGGGAAAACATGAAGAAATGCAGATCAAGGTTTTAGAAATTCAAAAGTTAACACTGGAGAAATTAAACAACAATCAGGCAAATGAAGGAAATTCTTCATATTCTAATAACATCATATTTAATTCGCTGGAAACTTTCAACTATGTGCCAGACGAAGGAAAAACGTTTGAATCGTACTTTAAACGATATGAAGATAATTTCTACACAGACTGTGAAAACTGGTCGAATTCAAGAAAAGTCAGTCTATTACTAAGAAAGCTAGGTACAGCAGAACATAGCAAATTTGTAGATTTTATTCTACCGAGAAGAACAAATGAATTGGAATTCTCGGAAACAGTGAAATTGCTAAAGGAGTTGTTTGGAGCAAATGTGTCGCTTTGGCATAAGCGATGGTTATGCATGAATGTCGCTAAATCCGACGATCAGGATTACTTAATATATGCATCTATCGTGAATAGACATTGTGACAATTTCAGATTGGCAGAGATTGCGGTTGAAGAATTCAAGTGTTTAATTTTTGCTCAAGGACTGGTATCCAGTAAGAGTGCCGAAATAAGACGTAGAGTTTTGGCTAAACTCGAATGTGAATAAAACCTTACCCTGCAAAAGTTAGCAGAGGAGTGTCAAAGGGCCGTAAGTTTAAAAAAAGAGTCTCAAAAATCGAAGAAGCTGGTATTGCTTATATTAAAAAATTAAAAAAAACAGTAAAATTATCCATCAGCAAAAAATTGGAGTAAAAATTCGGCGTATTTTAAAAATAGACAAGAAAAATTAAATGAAAAGAATGAGGAGAAAAAAAAATGGTTCCACCATTTAATTGTAGACGGTGCAACGAAAGACACTGGGAGGTAAATTGCCCATATAGAAATAGGAAATGTTTCGTGTGCCACAAGAATGGACACAAAGGATTGTGTTGTAAAATGAAAAAAGTCAATAGCCGAATTAGACAAACAAATTCAAATATAAAATAAGATAGAGATTTGAGGAAATATATGACGACTGAAATATTTAAAAAGAATATCAAATTTCAACTCGATTCGGGTTCAGATTTAACAATAATGAACTATAAAACATGGAAAATTTTAAAAAGGCCTACAATAATGAAATCAACGAAATGTGCTCGAACAGTGACTGGAAAGGAAATTAACTTCGAAGGCGAGGTTGTACTTCTCATGAAATTGAACGGGATAGCTAAAAAAATAAAAGTTTTCATTCTGAAAAATGGAGAAAACTTGATGGGTACAGATTTTATTAAAACATTCGAATTGTGGGATAAACCGTTAAACTCTTTCTGCAGAAAAGTAGAAAGTAATACGCAAACAAGACAGGACATTAAAGAGGAATTAAAGAAAAAGTTTCCAGAAACCTTCACACCTGGTCTTGGAAGATGTAACAAGTTTGAAGCTAAATTCGAATTAAAGGAAAATACTATGCCAATTTTAAAAAAGAAACGTAATGTGCCTTTCGCAAGTGTAGAGAAAATTAACGAAGAACTTGATAGGTTGGAAAAATGGGAATTATTTCGAAAGTAGAATCTAATTCATGGGCTGCGCCGATTGTGTGCATAAAAAGAAATCAAACCAAGTCAGAGTCTGCGTTGATTTTTCGACAGGGTTGAACTCGGTAATTAAGGACTACCATTACCCGTTACCGAGTCCGGAGGAGATTTTTAACAAGCTAAATGGTGGAGTTATATTTTCAAAATTGACTTATCAGATGCCTATCTCCAAATTCCCGTCGAAGAGGAATGTTCGAAGTTACTAGGGATAAACACGCATAGAGGGTTATTCAAGTACAACAGGCTTCCTTTTGGTATTAAAGTGGCACCTGCCATTTTTCAACAAGCTATGGACGTCATGCTGAATGATTTAGACTTTGCGTGCGCTTACTTAGACGACATCATAGTAAGGAGCGAATCGGTCGACGAACATCGAGAGCATCTCAATCAAGTATTTAAAAAATTCAGGACTTTGGATTTAAAGTCAAAGAGTCAAAGTGCGAATTTGGTTTGGAGGAAATTAAGTATTTAGGGCACATAATCAACAAAAATGGCAGATGTCCAGATCCGGAAAGGTCCATTGCGATTAGAGACATGCCGACGCCCACTAATGTGGCGATGCTATAGAGTTTTCTGGGGCTCGCAAATTATTATCAAGCGTTCATTAAAGGAACGTACAATCTAAGAGCTCCGTTGAATGAACTGCTAAAAAACGACAAGGCATGGGAATGGACGGTAGAATGTCAGAAAGCCTTTGATGAAATAAAGAGAATGCTTACCTCTTTTTAACCCATTACAATCCAAAACTGGATATTGTAATGGCAAGTGACGCCAGTTCATACGGGATAGGAGCGTGTATTCAACACATAATGCCAGTTGGTTCTAGAAAACCAAATGCACATGCTTCGAGAACTTTACTCCCAGGAGAAAGAATTTACCCACAAATCGAAAAAGAGGCGCTGAGTATCATTTTTGCCATAACAAAATTTCACAGATACATCCACGGCAGACATTTTATGCTTGAAACGGATCATAAACCACTGATCACTATTTTTGGTTCAAAGAAAGGGTTACCCGTTTATACAGCAAATCGTCTGTTAAGATGGGGAACCATTCTTCTCAATTATGATTTTCACATAAAGCACCTATCATCCAAAAATATAATTCATGCGGATAGTCTATCAAGACTCGTACCGAGTCAAGAAGAAAGATTCGAAGAATCAATTATTGCAAATATCAGAGCAGATTATGAGGTGAAAAGCATGGTAAACAACATTGTAAGAGAGCTACCGGTTACTCTAAATGAAATTAAAAAAGAAGCTGAAAGCGATGATTTCATTTAGAAATAAAAAAGCAAAATGGTAGCAAATGACCAAAAATGCTGGAGATTTATTCAATAGGTGAAGGAGTTTTATTATATGGTGAGAGAGTAGTAGTACAAAAAAAGTTGCAGAAAAGAATACTACGGGACTTTCATATGGGTCACCTGGGGGTTAGAACAAAAGATTAATGCGAAGCTTTGTATATTGAAAGGAATGGATGTGGATATCGCAAACATGGTTCATCGATGTAAAGGGTGTGCGTTAGCAGCCTAAGGCACCACCTATAGTACACAAAACATAGCCCAAGACGGATCATCCGTGGACAAGATTACACATTGATTTCGCTGGTCCAGTAGAAGATTTTTACTACTTAATAGTGGTAGATAGTTTTACAAAATGGCCGGAAGTACTACGCTGTAAAAAGCCTACGTCTAATACCACAACAACTTTTTTGCATGAACTATTTGCACGGTTCGGTGTGCCAGAGTGTATTGTGAGTGACAATGGAACACAATTCACTTCTGAAGAATTTAACGAATTTTGTGAGTTATATCAAATTAACCACATAACGACGCCTCCGTATCATCCGAGGTCTAATGGACTCGCATAAAGATTTGTCGATACTTTAAAGCGCGCTCTGAAGAAAGCCTCAGGAGTTCCAACGGAAAAGGCGCTTCAGCAATTCTTACAAGTATACAGAATCACGCCAAATCAGAGAACACACTCAAACATGGCACCAACTGAACTAATGTTCGCTAGGAAATAGATAGATAGATAGATAGATAGATAGATTTATTGAATTAAAAGACAGGGATAGATAGATAGATAGATAGATAGATAGATAGATTGAATTAAAGACTGAGATAGATAGATAGATAGATTCATTGACTTAAAGACTGGGATAGATAGATAGATTCATTGAATTAAAGACTGGGATAGATAGATAGATAGATAGATAGATAGATAGATTCATTGAATTAAAGACTGGGATAGATAGATAGATAGATAGATAGATATATAGATAGATTCATTGATTTAAACGACTCGGATAGATAGATAGATAGATAGATAGATAGATAACTTCATTGAATTAAAAGATTGGGATAGATAGATAGATAGATAGATATGAAAAGGACTGAGATAGATAGATAGATAGATAGATTTATTGAATTAAAAAACTGGGATAGATAGATAGATTTATTGAATTAAAAAACTGGGATAGATAGATAGATTTATTGAATTAAAAGACAGAGATAGATAGATAGATAGATAGATTCATTGAATTAAAAGACTCGGATAGATAGATAGATAGATAGATAGATATGAAAAGGACTGAGATAGATAGATAGATAGATAGATAGATTTATTGAATTAAAAGACAGGGATAGATAGATAGATAGACAGATAGATATATTGAATTAAAAGACTCGGATAGATAGATAGATAGATAGATACATTAAATTAAAAGACTCGGAAAAATACATAGATACATAGATAGATAGGTAGATAGATAGATTAATTGAATCAAAAGACGCAGATAGATAGATAGATAGATAGATAGATAGATAACTTCATTGAATTAAAAGACTGGGACAGATAGATAGATTCATTAAAATAAAATACTAGGAAAAAAAGATAGATAGATAGATTCATTGAATTAGAAGACTCAGATAGATAGATAGATAGATAGATAGATAACTTAATGAATTATGACTGGGATAGATAGATAGATTCATTGAATTGAAAGACAAGGATAGATAGATAGATAGATAGATTTAAAAGACTGGGATAGATAGATAGATAGATTTATTGAATTAAAAGAGAGAGTTAGATAGATAGATTGAATTAAACACAGGGATAGATAGATAGGTAGATAGATTCATTGAATTGAAAGACAGGGATAGATAGATAGATTAATTGAATGAAAAGACAGAGATAGATAGATAGATAGAATTGAAAGACAGGGATAGATAGATAGATTAATTGAATGAAAAGACAGAGATAGATAGATAGATAGATAGAATTAAAAGACTGGGATACATAGATAGATAGATAGATAGATTCATTAAATGAAAAGACTGGGATAGATAGATAGATAGATAGATAGATAGATAGATAGATAGATAGATTGAATTTAAAGACGGGGATAGATAGATAGATTCATTGAGGTAAAAGACTAGGATAGATAGATAGATAGATAGATAGATAGATTCATTGAAGTAAAAGACTCGTATACATAGATAGATAGATAGATAGATAGATAGATTGAATTAAACACAGGGATAGATAGATAGATTGAGCGATAGATAGATAGATAGATAGATAGATAGATTTATTGAATTAAAAGACAGTGATAGATAGATAGATTTATTGAATTAAAAGACAGTGATAGATAGATATATAGATTCATTGAATTAAAAGACTCGGATAGATAGATAGATAGATATGAAAAAGACTGAGATAGATAGATAGATAGATAGATTCATTGAATTAAAAGACTGGGATAGATAGATAGATAGATTCATTGAATTAAAAGACTGGGATAGATAGATAGATAGATTCATTGAATTAAAGACTGGGATAGATGTATAGATAGATAGATATGAAAAGGACTGAGATAGATAGATAGATTTATTGAATTAAAAGACAGTGATAGATAGATAGATTCATTGAATTAAAAGACTAGGATACATAGATAGATAGATAGATAGATTCATTGAATGAAAAGACAGGGATAGATAGATCGATAGATTGAATTAAAAGACTGGGATAGATAGATAGATAGATAGATAGATAGATAGATAGATAGATTCATTAAATGAAAAGACTGGGATAGATAGATAGATTGAATTAAAAGACGGGGATAGATAGATAGATAGATTCATCGAATTGAAAGACAGGGATAGATAGATAGATAGATAGATTCATTGAATTAAAAGACAATGATAGATAGATTCATTGAATGAAAAGACAGAGATAGATAGAATTAAAAGACTGGGATAGATAGATAGATAGATAGATAGATAGATAGATAGATAGATAGACTCATTAAATGAAAAGACTGGGATAGATAGATAGATAGATAGATAGATAGATAGATTGAATTAAAAGACGGGGATAGATAGATAGATAGATAGATTCATTGAGGTAAAAGACTCGGATAGATAGATAGATAGATAGATTCATTGAAGTAAAAGACTCGGATAGATAGATAGATAGATAACTTCATTGAATTAAAAAACTGGGATAGATAGATAGATGGATAGATAGATAGATATGAAAAGGACTGAGATAGATAGATGGATAGATAGATAGATAGATTTATTGAATTAAAAGTCATAGATAGATAGATAGATAGTTTCATTGAATTAAAAGACTGGGATAGATAGATAGATATGAAAAAGACTGAGATAGATAGATAGATTTATTGAATTAAAAGACTGGGATAGATAGATAGATTCATTGAATTAAAAGACTGGGATAGATGTATAGATAGATAGATATGAAAAGGACTGAGATAGATAGATTCATTGAATTAAAAGACTAGGATACATAGATAGATAGATAGATAGATTCATTGAATGAAAAGACAGGGATAGATAGATCGATAGATTGAATTAAAAGACTGGGATAGATAGATAGATAGATAGATTCATTAAATGAAAAGACTGGGATAGATAGATAGATAGATTGAATTAAAAGACGGGGATAGATAGATAGATAGATAGATAGATTCATCGAATTGAAAGACAGGGATAGATAGATAGATAGATAGATAGATAGATAGATAGATAGATTCATTGAAGTAAAAGACTTGGATAGATAGATAGATAGATAGATAGATAGGTATGAAATAGATAGATAGATAGATAGATAGATAGATAGAAACAGATTGCAAGAGACAGACGAACATGCATAAAACAATGTTGAAGTTTGTTGCCTGGCAACGAAATGCACACGACCCCCCCAATGTATGTACCAAATATAGTGTCGGTTCGATTCACTAAATGTAGCAGGAACACCAAATATATAGGTACTACTACTATTTATATTAAATGATTCTTCCACGTACAGGATTCAAGTAATAATAACAACAACTCCAATTTGTTAACCAACAAATATATATTGAATAAAATACAACAACAAGTATGAAATAATTTTGTATTCAAAATGTAGATTAAAGAGAAGGAAGTTCTTTCCCTTTGACTGTAGATTGATTTGTAATCAACCATTTGAAGAAAGTTCTCTTGTGAGATAAATGTTCCGAAATAATTGTTAGAGCAATGTTTGCATATGAAGAATAAATAACATGAATACAATTGATTGAAATGTGTTGTGAATAAACTGGTTTGAATCAACAAAGTTCTGGCTGATTGTGCTTGGCGAAAGTTACAGAGAGAAAATGTAAGTTTGTAGTTACGAAATTCTGTGTCTGTGTGTGCGTTAGAGTGTGATGAGCAAGATCGTGGATTTGTGTTAACGGCTGAGATCTTACTGGCGACTTGCGAAAAGTCGCCCTATTTAAGGAAAAGAGGTAGGCTCACACAGAACCGCGGGACAACTTGATCTTACATTAAAAATATGTGATTGGTTAAAAATTAACCAATCACTACACACTTACTAAACAGAATAGGTAAGTATGCTTCGAACCAAAAGATTCAAAGGAACGACTGCAATGGCTAAATTATCCTATACAAAGATAATAGTAATTTATTAGCCAATCGTAGGCGAATAAAATGACTTGGAGTGTATGTGGGTGTGAAAAACATAGCAACCACTATATATGTAATTGATTAACTACGCCGAGGAATATATTAATCCTCATTTCAAGAAATGGCGTAAGCACCTTCAAATTTGACATTCACTAAAAAAATTATTTCAGCAAGCTTTTTCTAAATAGGTACACATAGATAATTTCTGATGAAAAATCTCATTTATTAATTGAATATAAATATTTTAATATGTCTTTTTGTGCAGATTAAACTCTTACAATTAGAATCTGAAAGATAGACGAGTGTAGTTGAATATTTAAATAGTAAACGTATATTTTGCGTGTACTGTGCAAAACTATGTTTATTAAATATATGATTTTAGAATGATGAAAACTCATATTTGTTTCAAGGGCTTATTTATTCTTAAGAATTTTTAAATGAGCCAATGAAAATCTCAAAGTTTCATTAATTTTAGGTAATTATTTTGAATTTAACTTCGACGTGTCAAAATATATCCGACGCTTCTGGGGTTAGGGGTTAATTTTTTTAAAGTTATGGTTTATACAGTTAACTGTTCATTGCACTTCTTTATTTTGAACATTGCCTGTTTCGAGTTTGTTAGTGATTAGTCAGACCGTTACAAAGTGAGAGTATGGTTCAAGTTATGATTTTCAATCGAATAGTAAGGATTAGGTGGGACATTTATTAATTTATTGGCAGGGTTGAAAAGTTGTTACAAAGAATACAATAAATTTAAAGATGGATTAATGATTATTTTACCTAAAATTTGATATCAATTTTATAAATATACTATAGAAAAAAAAAAATTTGAAATCAAGGGAAATATAGCAAACCCATTTTTGGACGTCCTAAATTTTAAAAGGAAACCCCAAAGATATGATGAGAGATCGTCGCACCTCATTTCCCCTCTATTCAACCAAATGAAAAATCCTTTTATACATGGATTAATTAATAAATTTCCTACAATTTAGTACCAATTTTTAAAATATTTCATTCAATGGAAAAATTTTTAAAAAGAAGTGAAATATTACTAATCCCTCACTTTTGGGCCGCACTCAAAAATTTCAAGAAAACCGCTAAGACAAGTTTCGACTTCGTTGAACCACATGTTGTCCCTATTCAACCTACTGAAAACAAAATTTAAACATGGATTAAGGAAGAAATTGCCTAACATTTGATATCAATTTTATAATTATTCTATGTTGCAGTTTTGTGTATACTGTGTAACTAGTGAGCCAATCAAAATGCCTTGACTCACTTTATAGCCTACCAATAGAAGGTTAACCAATCAGAAGACGTAGAATATTCAATCCGTCGTGTATAAATGCGGCCATTTTTGTTCACTCTACCCGAATGACCAGTCCAGTTTTTTTTCTGACCGGTCGCGTTTGGCTTTTGTAGATTTTTTTTGTGCTGCTGTGTGGCGAGCCGTTTCTGGTCCGCGAGGGTTTGCTTCTGTACTTTGCCTGCTTTTTTGGACGAACTTTATTGACAAACCAAGTCTTTTCTGTTAAGTTATTGTTTAAGTTTTATTCTTTTAATTTTTTTCATTTCTTTTATTTGTTTTAATTTGTTTTGGGGCTTCGGCCCACATTTTTTATTTTTTTAGTCCGGTTTGACAAAGACTTACCGGACGACTGCTTTTTTATTTTTGTTTATTTCTTTTCAGTTTTTTAAAAAAGAAATTAGTACAGTTTAAGAAAAAAGAAAAAGAAAGCTTTGTTTTTCCTTTTTATTTTATACCCTCCTTTTCTTAGCGACTTCGGTCGCTTTCTTTTGACTAGTTTGCTTTTCTTTTGTTTTTAATTTATTTTCTTTAGCGGCTTCGGCAGCCTTTGGGCGCCATTGTTATTTTTTTACCTGTCTATTTATTTCTTTCTGTTGATCAAGTTTGTCTTTTATTTTTCTTTTAGTTTTTCCAGTTTATTTTATTGTCTTTGTTATTTTGTTACTAGTGCATCCAGGCCTTTTTGTATAATTTCTTTTTTTTTCTCTCCCAACTCCTTTCCCCAACATTTGGACATAAATTCAGAGACCCGCAGGTGGTAGTCTCCACTTTTTATTTCAATATGGCCGACGGTGCCAGTCGACCTAATGTAAAAAAAAGACCTTTTCGGGACGACTGCTAAAGCCGACCCGCCTGATAAATCAACAAAAAGCGGGCTGACGATAGCCCAAAATCAGATAATGCTAATAGCTCCAAGAAAGAAGAAATTACCAAAAAAGACGAAGTGCCAAAGGAGGCACAAAGTAAGACTGCCGATGAATTGCCCACCTGCTGGAAGTCCCCACCCCCAAGTTGTATTTTGAACATGGCAGATTTCTTGGATAAGGCGAAAGAGTACGCCCATCTTGTAAATAAAGATGGGTTCGTCAAAGTTGTCGAAGAACTCGATGTGTTCGCAAAAAGAATGGTGACCGTTTTTGTGGTGGACAAGAAAACACGTAAGATTTGTCGCTCCACAAAAGACACGGTGATTAAATCACTTCTGTCCCTGGGGATAAAACCCCAAAGAGTAATTAAGTGCACTGGGTTCTTCATGTGGGACATTCTACTACCCGCACCAGAAGATTGACTGGCCATGACCAAAAAAGAGTTAATCACAAAAGATCTGATTTTAAGAACCGAATACGAAGGCCGCAGGAGGACCAGGGTGGCCGTTTTTGAGGTTCCTCCCCAAATTTCGGGAGAGCTCCTGGCTGCATTTTTCATGCAGTTCGGCCAAATTTTAGGGGCTCTCTCTGACAATTTGAACGGGGGATGGACTTTTGACATCATGCTCGATCAGAAAGCCTTCAAGTCCGTCCCTAACTGTTTGGTGTTTGGCGACCGGAAAATGCCGGTCATAGTGACCGGTAGGAGACCAACTTGCTGGAGGTGTGGAGAGACTGGTCACCTTTCCTCCTCCTGCCCAGGGAAGAAGGCCCCTGGAGTTCCGGTCGCAGGCGACCAAAATCCCCTTGGCCGAAAAGGTAAAATCCGCGGCGCCTGTAGTGGGCCTAGCTGCGAGGCGGACCGATGAGGAAAATCCTCGGTTGGGTCCAGACCCACATTACCCCCCAAAACCGACGCCTGCCACTAGTGTGGATAAGGAGAAGGATGAGAGGGATGGCGCCTCGTAGTTAGGGCAAGGGAAGACCCAAACAGCGGTTCCTCAGTCCCATCATGACCCCAGGGACAATGTCACCTACAACCCCATTCCTCTACCAGCTCTGAGGGGCGACGCCTCGGCGTCTTATGAAAAAACGCCAGTGAAACACAGAAAGCTAATGAGCCAAGCTGGCAGAAAATATTAGATAAAAAAAACTCAAAGAAAAGCTGGAGGCTAAGCAGGGGGTAAAGATAAAAAATCTGTATCAAACTCTCCAGCAAATCACTTCATTCGTCCAAACCTTCACCGGTGAGGACGCCTACTGGTTGGACTCCCTCAACTACACCTAATGTCACTCCCATGTCAACACCCATGCAATCACCTCAAAAGAAAAGGGTCAGAAGCCCGGACTCGCAAATACTTACCTACAAAAAGAAAAAAAAACTCAAACCTCCTTATTTCCCAGGGGAAGACGTCTGCCGCGTATCCTGGGACCAGGCGGAAAGGGTCTTCGGTCAGACTCGGAACCCGAAGGACTTAAAAGTTCTATGGAACTTCCAAAAAATTAATGGGGTTGATGTTGAAAAACCTGAAAATTTCCTTTCGGCAGGAAGAATCCTGACAGTGATTAGAACTGGCCCGGGTACGCGGGAGATCTGGGGCATGATAGAGGAGGCCCATTCGTCTCTAAAATGGTGCCCCGGCTGCCTACTTAGTGACCCGGAAACTGATGAAGGAAATCAAAACTCAAAGGAGGGTCCCAGTTTTCGTTCACCCATCCCTTTATAGAGCACAAATTAACGTACCCTTCGGACATCGGCGGTTTGTCTCAGGATGTCGAAAGTGAGATGGCGTCTGGATCCATGGGACGAGCTGTCGGTGTCCTCACCCCAGCCATGTTCTATCCTGAAGGACAGCCCTAATCGGCTTCACAATGGCACTTTGGTTAGCTAGTTTAAATGTCCGGGGCCTGAGGTCAGAGTCTCGCAGGGCGAGGCTCTCTCGTGACCTTCAGCGCCTCCGGGTGAATGTATGTTGTATACAAGAGACCCGGTTTTCTTCTCATGATCGTGAAGATATACTGTCTAAGGGGTTCGCCCTTTATTCAGCATGTTTTGATGGTCGTTCGAGGGGTGTCTCTTGGCTAGTGAGCAAGTCTTTGAAGGCTGCATGTACCCTTGTCTTCGCGGATCCGGCGGGCAGGCTTTGCGTGCTGGATGTTACCATAAAGGATAAGGTTCTTCGTCTCATTGGGGTTTATGCGCCCAATACCCATTCCGAGCGGCCTGCTTTGTTTCGGCAGATCGCGCCGTTCTTGACGACGTCTCGTCGGGTAGTTTTAGCGGGGGATTGGAATGCCGTCCTTGACCCCGATATAGATCGCATAGGGGAAAAACAAGGTACTAACAACCCGGATGTGAAACCATTCGGGACTTTATCGATGGGTTTGATCTCGTCGATAAGTTCCGGAAAGAACACCCTCGGGAGGTAGCATGGACTTGGACAAATAGTGGCAACTCGGCTCCTGGGTCGCTTGCGAGCTACCTGGACCGAGTCTTAGTTAGAGAGAGTCGATGTAGGGCTCTTAGGGTGTGTCCAAGTTTCCATTATATAGTTTATACGGATCATAGGTTTGTCCGGGTCCGTGTAAACTTAGATAAGCCTCAAGGTTAGATTGGCTGGGTACTGGAAATTGAACTGTTCCATTTTTGGTGATCAGGTTTCCGGGACCAGCTGTTACTAACGATACAAAGGGAATTGACAGGGGGGCGGTTGGGGAAATGCCTGGTGGGGCAATTTAAAATCTAAAAATTCGAACGTTTGCTGCCGATTTTTAGTCGTCGACTCAATCTAGATAGATTAGCGGCGCAAACTGCTTTAGAAAATAAAGTCGATCGGGCAGTGAAATCCCGTGTTAGTGGGGATATAGCTTTTAAAAGGCAGAGTTGTCCTCCTTGCTTATCAAGAAGGATCAAGCTCTGGTAGTTAGGGATAAGTTAAAAGAATGTCTTCTGAGGCTACGAATATGGCCGCTGAACTGCATGCAGAGGAGAATCGAAACGCGTCTAGGCGACATATAGCGTGCGTCACATTACCGGATAAGCGGACCGTGACTACAAACACGGGCATATGTGAGGTTTTCAGGATTACTATCAGGATCTTTTCCCCAGGGAGCCCGGTCTTAGCTCTGCTCAATTCGACGCCTATTTAGTTAACTTTTCTGCCTCTCGGCAGCTGAAGCGGCTAGGGTGCGAGGGGTCCCATAACAGAGTCGGAAATCTGGGAAGCGCTGAAAGCAGGTTGGCCTGGATAAGTCTCCGGGATTAGATGGTCTTCCCTACGAAGTTTACTTGAGGCTGTCGGACGTTTTGTTCCTTTGCTGGAACTGATTTTCAACCACTGGATGAGGCAGGGTCTTTACCTCAACGCTTTACCACTGGGATAGATGTGACGACGAATGGTTCTTGAAAGGACTGGATAGATAGATAGATTCATTGAATTAAAAGACTGGGATACATAGATGAATGCGATAGATAGATTCATTGAATGAAAAGACAGGGATAGATAGATCGATAGATTGAATTAAAAGACTGGGATAGATAGATAGATGATAGATTCATTAAATGAAAAAAGACTGGGATAGATAGATAGATAGATTGAATTAAAAGACGGGGATAGATAGATAGATAGATAGATAGATTCATCGAATTGAAAGACAGGATAGATAGATAGATAGATAGATAGATAGATAGATAGATAGATTCATTGAAGTAAAAAGACTTGGATAGATAGATAGATAGATAGATAGATAGGTATGAAATAGATAGATAGATAGATAGATAGATATGGAAACAGATTGCAAGAGACAGACGAACATGCATAAAACAATGTTGAAGTTTGTTGCCTGGCAACGAAATGCACACGACCCCCCAATGTATGTACCAAATATAGTGTCGGTTCGATTCACTAAATGTAGTAGGAACACCAAATATATAGGTACTACTACTATTTATATTAAATGATTCTTCCACGTACAGGATTCAAGTAATAATAACAACAACTCCAATTTGTTAACCAACAAATATATATTGAATAAATACAACAACAAGTATGAAATAATTTTGTATTCAAAATGTAGATTAAAGAGAAGGAAGTTCTTTCCCTTTGACTGTAGATTGATTTGTAATCAACCATTTGAAGAAAGTTCTCTTGTGAGATAAATGTTCCGAAATAATTGTTAGAGCAATGTTTGCATATGAAGAATAAATAACATGAATACAATTGATTGAAATGTGTTGTGAATAAACTGGTTTGAATCAACAAAGTTCTGGCTGATTGTGCTTATGAAAGTTACAGAGAAAATGTAAGTTTTTGTAGTTACGAAATTCTGTGTCTGTGTGTGCGTTAGAGTGTGATGAGCAAGATCGTGGATTTGTGTTAACGGCTGAGATCTTACTGGCGACTTGCGAAAAGTCGCCCTATTTAAAAAAGAGGTAGGCTCACACAGAACCGCGGGACAACTTGATCTTACATTAAAAATATGTGATTGGTTAAAAATTAACCAATCACTACACACTTACTAAACAGAATAGGGTATGCTTCGAACCAAAAGATTCAAAGGAACGACTGCAATGGCTAAATTATCCTATTAAAGATAATAGTAATTTATTAGCCAATCGTAGGCGAATAAAAATGACTTGGAGTGTATGTGGGTGTGAAAACATAGCAACCACTATATATGTAATTGATTAACTACGCCGAGGAATATATTAATCCTCATTTCAAGAAATGGCGTAAGCACCTTCAAATTTGACATTCACTAAAAAATTATTTCAGCAAGCTTTTTCTAAATAGGTACACATAGATAATTTCTGATGAAAATCTCATTTATTAATTGAATATAAATATTTTAATATGTCTTTTGTGCAGATTAAACTCTTACAATTAGAATCTGAAAGATAGACGAGTGTAGTTGAATATTTAAATAGTAAACGTATATTTTGCGTGTACTGTGCAAAACTATGTTTATTAAATATATGATTTTAGAATGATGAAAACTCATATTTGTTTCAAGGGCTTATTTATTCTTAAGAATTTTTAAATGAGCCAATGAAAATCTCAAAGTTTCATTAATGTTATGTAATTATTTTCAATTTAACTTGGACGTGTCAAAATATATCCATCGCTTCTTGGGTTTGGGGTTAATTTTTTTAAGATATGTTTTATACAGTTACCTGTTTATTGCAGTTCTTTATTTTGAACATTGCTTGTTTAGAGTTTGTTAGTGATTAGTGAGACCTTTACAAAGTGAGAGTATGGTTCAAGTTATGATTTTCAATCGAATAGTAAAGATTAGGTGGGACATTTATTAATTTATTGGCAGGGTTGAAAAGTTGTTACAAAGAATACAATAAATTTAAAGATGGATTAATGATTATTTTACCTAAAATTTGATATCAATTTTATAAATATACTATAGAAAAAAAATTTGAAATCAAGGGAAATATAGCAAACCCATTTTGGACGTCCTAAATTTTAAAAAGGAAACCCCAAAGATATGATGAGAGATCGTCGCACCTCATTTCCCCTCTATTCAACCAAATGAAAATCCTTTTATACATGGATTAATTAATAAATTTCCTACAATTTAGTACCAATTTTTAAAATATTTCATTCAATGGAAAATTTTTAAAAAGAAGTGAAATATTACTAATCCCTCACTTTTGGGCCGCACTCAAAAATTTCAAGAAAACCGCTAAGACAAGTTTCGACTTCTGTTGAACCACATGTTGTCCCTATTCAACCTACTGAAAACAAAAATTTAAACATGGATTAAGGAAGAAATTGCCTAACATTTGATATCAATTTTATAATTATTCTATGTTGCAGTTTTTTGTATACTGTGTAACTAGTGAGCCAATCAAATTTTTTATATTACCTTTAGAAGGTTAACCAATCAGAAGACGTAGAATATTCAATCCGTCGTGTATAAATTTTTTTTTTTTTTAGAATGACCAGTTTGTTTTTTTTTTCTGACCGGTCGCGTTTTTTTTATTTTTTTTTATTGCTTTTTCGAGTATTGGTCCGCGAGGGTTTGCTTTTGTACTTTGCCTGCTTTTTTGGACGAACTTTTTTGACAAACCAAGTCTTTTTCTGTTTTATTGTTTAAGTTTTATTCTTTAATTTTTTCATTTCTTTTATTTGTTTGAATTTGTTTTGTTTTTCTTTCGGCCCACATTTTTATTTTTAGTCCGGTTTGACAAAGACTTACCGGAAACCTTTTTTTATTTTTTTATTTTTTCAGTTTTTAAAAAAGAAATTAGTAAAAAAGACTTTTTCTTTTGTTTTTCTTTTTATTTTGTATCCTTTTTTGACTTTTGTCTTTCTTTTGACTAGTTTCTTTTTTTTGTTTTTAATTTATTTTTTTTTTCGGCAGCCTTGGCCATTGCCATTGTTTTTTTTTTTTACCTGTCTATTTATTTTTTCTGTTGATCAAGTTTGTCTTTTATTTTTTTTAGTTTTTCCAGTTTATTTTATTGTCTTTGTTATTTTTTATTTACTAGTGCATCCAGGCTTTTTGTATAATTTCTTTTTTTTCTCTCCCAACTCCTTTCCCCAACATTTGGACATAAATTCAGAGACCCGCAGGTGGTAGTCTCCACTTTTTATTTCAATATGGCCGACGGTGCAAAATCGAAAAAATGTAAAAAAAAGACCTTTTCAGGACGACTGCTAAAAGCCGACCCGCCTGATAAATCAACAAAAAGCGGGCTGACGATAGCCCAAAATCAGATAATGCTATTAGCTCCAAGAAATAACCAAATTACCAAAAGACGAAGTTCCAAAGGAGGCACAAAAGTAAGACTGCTGATGAATTGCCCACCTGCTGGAAGTCCCCACCCCAAGTTGTATTTTGAACATGGCAGATTTCTTGGATAAGGCGAAAGAGTACGTCCATCTTGTAAATAAAGATGGGTTCGTCAAAGTTGTCGAAGAACTCGATATGTTCGCAAAAAGAATGGTGACCGTTTTGTGGTGGACAAGAAAACACGTAAGATTTGTCGCTCCACAAAAAGACACAGTGATTAAATCACTTTTGTCCCTGGGGGATAAAACCCCAAAGAATAATTATGCACTGGGTTCTTCATGTGGGACATTCTACTACCCCGCACCAGAAGATTGACTGGCCATGACCAAAAAAGAGTTAATCACAAAAGATCTGATTTTAAGAACAGAATACGAAAGGCCGCAGGAGGACCAGGGTGGCTGTTTTTGAGGTTCCTCCCCAAATTTCAGGAGAGCTCCTGGCTGCATTTTTCATGCAGTTCGGCCAAATTTAGGGGGCTCTCTGACAATTTGAACGGGGGATGGACTTTTGACATCATGCTCGATCAGAAAGCCTTCAAGTCCGTCCCCTAACTGTTTGGTGTTTGGCGACCGGAAAATGCCGGTCATAGTGACCGGTAGGGAGACCAACTTGCTGGAGGTGTGGAGACTGGTCACCTTTCCTCCTCCTGCCCAGGGAAGAAGGCCCTGGAGTTCCGGTCGCAGGCGATAAAATCCCCCCTTTGGCCGAAAAGGTAAAATCCATGGCGCCTGTAGTGGGCCCAGCTGCGAGGCGGACCGGTGAGGAAAATCCCTCGGTTGGGTCCAGACCCACATTACCCCCAAAACCGACGCCTGCCACTAGTGTGGATAAGGAGAAGGATGAGAGGGGATGGCGCCTCGTAGTTAGGGGCAAGGGGAAGACCCAAACAGCGGTTCCTCAGTCCCATCATGACCCCAGGGACAATGTCACCTACAACCCCATTCCCTCTACCAGCTCTGAGGGCGACGCCTCGGCGTCTTATGAAAAAAACGCCAGTGAAACACAGAAAGCTAATGAGCCAAGCTGGCAGAAAATATTAGATCTTAAAAAACTCAAAGAAAAGCTGGAGGCTAAGCGGGGTAAAGATAAAAAATCTGTATCAAACTCTCCAGCAAAATCACTTCATTCGTCCAAACCTTCACCGGTGAGGACGCCCAACTCTGTTGGACTCCCTCAACTACACTTAATGTCACTCCCATGTCAACACCCATGCAATCACCCCAAAAAGAAAAGTCACTCCATGTCAAGCCCATGACCTCAAAAATACTTACCAAAAAAAAAAAAAACTCAAACCTCCTTATTTCCCAGGGGAAGACGTCTGCCGCGTATCCTGGGACCAGGCGGAAAGGGTCTTCGGTCAGACTCGGAACCCGAAGGACTTAAAAGTTCTATGGAACTTCCAAAAAATTAATGGGGTTGATGTTGAAAAACCTGAAAATTTCCTTTCGGCAGGAAGAATCCTGACAGTGATTAGAACTGGCCCGGGTACGCGGGAGATCTGGGGCATGATAGAGGAGGCCCATTCGTCTCTAAAAATGGTGCCCCCGGCTGCCTACTTAAGTGACCCGGAAACTGATGAAGGAAATCAAAAACTCAAAGGGAGGGTCCCAGTTTTCGTTCACCCATC